CCTCCACAAACCCCTCCTCCCTTCTAGCACTGATGCTGTTGCCTAGTCGGGTTGTGAAACGTCTGCAAGAAAACAAGCAAGCTCAGAGAGACCGCCAAGGACCCCTCAGCTTTCTTCTCCTTCCTTCCTCCCTCTCTCCCTCTCCTGCTCTAGGGACATCGACAAAGTGGACGACTTAATGTCCGAAATCACCGAACAGCAGGACATCGCCCAGCAGATCTCCGACGCCATATCTAAGCCGGTTGGCTTCGGGGACGATGTGGATGAGGTAAGGAGGGCCGCGATCCTTGGGGTGCCGTTCGGAGGGAGGGGCCCTGGGAGGCAGAGGCCTTGGATGCGAATCTCGCACCTTCGAAGGACGCCTTTGCCATCCGTCCGGTCAACTCACAAGATTCGTTGTTTTCTTGTCACGTATGTGTGTCTATGTGTGTGCATATGTACATATACATATACGTATACATATACATATATACACACACATCCAAAGTAGATTGCGTTGTTTCTTTCTCTGGGCCACGTGTGTGTGTATGTGGGTATAGGCGTAATTTATTTTACTTTGTGTATGAGGTGGTTACCCTCTGAGAGCTGTACTCAATGAAATCTCATTTTAATGTAGGCTGATTGGTATACATTTAAAGTGACAATAAAGCTATTCTATTCTATTCTATTCTTGTTCTATTCTATTCCATTCCATTCCTTATTTCTATTCCTTATTTGTATTCTATTCTATTTCTTTTCTGTTCTGTTCTATTCTATTCTTGTTCTATTCTATTCTATTCTTTATTTCTATTCTATTCTATAATATTATTCTATTCTAATATTTATTCTATTCTATTTTATTCTATTTTATTCTATTAATATTATTCTATTCTAATATTCTATTTTATTCTATTTATTTCTATTTCTTATTTCTATTCTATTCTATTTCTGTTCTATTCTATTCTTGTTCTATTCTTTATTTCTATTCTATTCTATTCTATTCTATTCTAATATTAATCTATTCTAATATTTATTCTATTCTATTCTATTCTATTCTATTCTATATTTCTATTCCTATTCCATTCCATTCTCTATTTCTATTTCTATTCCTATTTCTATTATTTCTGCTTCTGCCTCTATTCACAGGATGAGCTGCTGGCTGAACTGGAAGAGATGGAACAGGAAGATCTGGACAAAGAGCTTCTCAACGTGGGCGAGGCCAGTCCGGAGCTCCCCAGTGCCCCCTCTTCTCGCCTCCCCAGTGTGCCAGGTATGACGACATCCCGACCCCTGAAGCCTAATGCAGCTAATCCTCGACTTACGACCACAACCGCCACTGACATTTCTGTTGCTTAGCAAGGCCGTGGTTAATTAAGTTGCACCTGGTTTCACAACCCTTTCGTTAAGTGAAACCGTGTGCTTGTTAAGTGAGTCACATGGCCGTTAAACGAATCTAGCTTCCCCATTGATTTTGTGTGTCCGAAGCTGGCTGGGAAGGCCGCAAAGGGGGGGTGTCACGTGATGCCGGGCCTTACAACCAGTGTAAAAATACATACCGGTTGCCAAGCACCCAAATTTTGATTATGTGACGGCAGGGATGCTGCAATGGCCATAGGTATGAGGACTGGTCATAAGTATGAGGAGTGTTCAGTGAGTTGTAACTTCGGTCATTAAACAAGTGGTTGTAAGTCAAGGACCACCTATCTCAGGGGTCTTCCAACTTGGCCCTTTGATGACTAGTGGACTTCAACTCCCAGAATTCCTCAGCTAGCGTGCCTGGCTGAGGAATTCTGGGAGTTGAAGTCCACAAGTCATCAAAGGGTCATAGTTCCCTCACGCTGGCTGAGGAATTCTGGGAGTTGAAGTCCACAAGTCATCAAAGGCTCATAGTTCCCTCACGCTGGCTGAGGAATTCTGGGAGTTGAAGTCCACAAGTCATAAAAGGCTCATAGTTCCCTCACGCTGGCTGAGGAATTCTGGGAGTTGAAGTCCACAAGTCATCAAAAGGCCAAGCTGGAAGATCCCTGCTTGTGGACTTAAAAGTCCCTGCTTGTGGAGTTGGAAGTCCACAAATCATAAAAGGGCCATAGTTCCCCCATGCTGGCTGAGGAATTCTGGGAGTTGAAGTCCACAAGTCATCGAAGGGCCAAGTTCCAAGACCCCTGACCTATATCATGTGACGAAAGAACCCCCCCCCTTCAGTTTGACTCCTAGCTGTGACAAATGTACAGGTAGTCCTTTACTTACGACCACAATTGAGCCCAACATTTCAGTTGTTAAGCGAGATATTTGTTAAGTGGGTTTTGCCCCATTTTACGACCTGCCACCGTTGTTAAGTTGAATCGCCGCACTTGATAAGTTAGTAACCTGGTCGCTAAGCGAATCTCACTTCCCCCCATTGACTCTGCTTGTCAGAAGGTTGCAAAAGGGGATATCACGTGACCCAAGGGGACGCTGCAACCGTCACAAGTACATGCCAGTTTCCAAGCCTTTGAATTTTGATCCCGTGACCATGTGGGGATGCTGCAAAGGCGGTAACCGTGTCACATTTTTCAGTGTAATTTTGTACGGTCACTAAATGAACTGTTATAAGCCGAGGACTACCTGTACAATTTCCAGGAGCCCGGCGGTGGACAATGGGATGCTAGCCCCCGCCTCCGCCCCCTCCCCAAGCAGGAGTGAGGAGTTGGACACACAGACGTTAGGTCCCTTAAGAGATGTCTCGGGTTCAAATCTCGCTCTTTCCTTCCCGCAGCTTCCAAAGTGCCCTCCGCCTCCCTGGATGAGGAAGACGAAGAAATGAAACAGCTCGCCGCCTGGGTGTCGTGATGCATTGTGGGAAATTCCCCCCTCCATCTCCCTTGGTTTTCTTCGGAGATAGCGGCAGAGAGGAGCCATTTTGTCCCCTCCAGTTTCCATTGCCAGGGAAGTTGCTGGGGGGGGGCAGCGGAGGGGAGGACAAAAAAAAGAGAGGGGAGGGGCGGAAGTCACACACACCCTGCCTAAAATGACCTTACGTGCCGAATGTAAAGAGTTTTATAGACAGATTTATATAAATATATAAATATATATATAGATATCTATATCAACCGTAGGAGAAGGGGGATCCTCTTCGGGGGCGGGGCTTAAAAGACCTCCCGCCCCGCCCCCCTCCCCAGACACAGACTGAATCTTTACATCATCTTTTAGGGATTAACTTTTTTTTTTCTTTTTTTTTCAGTTTAAAAATAAAAAAAAATAAAACAGGATTTGGGCTCTTCGTCGGGGAGGGGGAGGGCTCAGGAGGAGCGGACGGTGTGACACACAAACACCCCCCCCACACACACACACACTTCCTGAAAATGAAGCTTGGGGGAAAAAATTCTCCAGAATTTGTTCCTTTGTACTGTCCTTCTCTGTCTAGCTCACTGTCCGATTTTGGGGGAGTCGTTCCCACAATTGGTGCTCTCTCTCTCTCTCATTCTGTCTCTCACTCTCATTCTTTCTTTTTCTCTCTCACACTCTTTCTCATTCTCTCATTCTCTCTCATTCTTTTTCTCTTTCTCACACTTTCTCATTCTCTATTTCTCTCACACTTTCTCTGTCTCTCATTCTGTCTCTCACTCTTTCTTTTTCTCTCTCACACTCTTTCTCTCATTCTTTCTTCTCTCTCTCTCGTTCTTTTTCTCTTTGTCACACTCTTTCTCATTCTCTTTCTCTCTCACACACTTTCTCTCTCTCACTCTTTCTCTCTCTCTCTCTCCCTATCTCTTTTTTTCTCTCCCGTTCTCTCTCTCTCTCTCTCTTTCATTCTGTCTCTCTCTCTCTCCTTTTGGGGGGGCTGGGGGGTCAGCTTCGTCTCCGGTGCCTGTGGCCACAACCAACAACACAAAACACACACTCTGCTTGTGGTAAAAGATGCAGTCTAGGATTCTCCTCCCGCGTGTTGCAAAGGAATTTGGGGTGGGGGTTTGAAGTGGGGGGGGTGTTCCGCTTCCAGAGCTGGATGGAGGGGTGGGTGGGCGGGCGGGCGGGCAGGGGGGATATCAGGAACTAAGGGAGAAAATTGGAATTTAGTTTGGACTGGAGGTACTGTCTGTCCCGGTTTTATCGGTAGTGTGTATCTGTCGACACGGTTTTGAAGTTCGTCTGTTAGGGTTCTCTTCGACTTGCGCTTGTGTGTTGTTGTTTTTTCTGTTTTAAGGCTTGCTCAGTCTGTCTCTCTTTTTTTATATATATATAAAAAAATCGACTTGTGGGCAGGAGCTGGGATGGGTGGGGGGGAAGCGTGGCCCCCGCCGACACGCGTGCACTCCTGTGGTGACTCGTTGCTTTGTTGCTTTCTGTGCCCGGTGAATAAAGTGCCCTGACGTGTGTTGTCTGAAAGTGTCTGTTGTCTCAAAGTGACATCTTTTTCTCCATTGCCCTCCCCCCCCAACCAAAAAAAAACCCCTTGTTCTTGCTGGAATTCACACCCCAAACCAATGTTTTTCAACCTCTGCCACTTTAAGAGGTACGGACTTCAACTCCCAGAATTCCCCAGCCAGCCATGATGGCTGGAGAATTCTGGGAGTTGAAGTTCGCACCTCTTAAAAGTGGCAGAGGTTTTAAAAAAACAATAGTGTTCTGGTAGCCAAAACTTCAGAAATCTGGTAATTTCTTATATCAGCTTCTGATTTTTTTTGACAGAATGAATCTTTTACCTCATTTTTGCCATTTATCCCTGGTTTTTTTCAACCACAGCCACTTTAAGATGCGTGGACTTCTATTTTATTGTTAACCCTGTGACTGGCTCTGGGAAGTGAGGGGGGAGGGAGGGGGGAGTGGAAGGGTGGGTTTGGGGAAGGGGGGGGATTTATATTGTAAAATTTTATAAAATTTTCAATAAAAAAAAAAAAAAGATGCGTGGACTTCAACTCCCAGAATTCCATGCTTATGTGAATTTCAACTCCCAGAATTCCATGTTGTGTGAACTTCAACTCCCAGGATTCCATGCGTATGTGTACTTCAACTCCCAGGATTCCGCGCATATGTGAACTTCAACTCCCAGGATTCCATGTGTATGTGAACTTCAACTCCCAGGAGTTTATGCTTAAGGCAGGTAGACTTGAACTCCCAGAATTCCATGCTTAAGTGGACTTCAACTCCCAGGCTTCCATGCTTAAGAGAGCTGAACTTCATCTCCCAGAATTCCATGCTTCTGTGGATTTCAGCTCCCACGATTCTATGCTTTCAATTGATGAAGCATTTGTCCAGGGCAGTTGTTCTCAACCTGTGGGTCGGGACCCCATTTGGGGTCGATCGACCATTTCATGGGGGTCGCCAAGCAAGGCTGTCCGCCATTTTTTTTGTCCGCCATTTTTTTCCCCTTTTCCGGCGGGTGCCTTACCTCCCTTGGGCTGGGTCAGCTGGTGGTCGGCCTGCTCCGTCTCTGCCGCTTGCCAACTACGCCTCGGCTGGCGCAGGGGGCGGAACCACGCATGTATGGCGCTCCCGGGCAGGGAAAGTCCTCGACTTACGACTGGTTGGGTAGTCCTCGACTTACGACCGGTTTAGTCCTCGACTTACGACCGGTTTAGTCCTCGACTTACGACCGGTTTAGTACTCAACTTACGACCGGTTGGGGTCCAGGGTTTTCCAACCTTAGCTGTTTTAAGATGTGTGGACTTCAACTCCCAGGATTCCAAGCTTACGTTGAACTTCAACTCCCAGGAGGCCAGGCGTAAGATACCTGGACTTCAACTCCCAGGATTCCATGCTTCAGAGAGGGAGACTTGGTGGCCTCTGAGCTTGGCTGTTTTCTTGCAGACATTTCATGACCCAAACTAGGACTTCAATTCCCATAATTCCAAGCAGGCTGGGGAATCCTGGGAGTTGAAGTCCACCTATTCTTAAAAGTGGCCGAGGTTGAGAAGTGCTGCCCAGGCTTCTTGGGACGGTTCAGAGGCACAAAACTCTGTCCACCTTCAGAAAAATACAGGTAGTCCTTGACTTACGACCCACATTTCGGCGGCTAAGTGAGACATCCGTTCAGTGAGTTTTGGACACTGCAACCGTCATAAACATGAGTCAGTTGCTAAGTGTTTACATTTTGATCACATGACCGTGGGAAACGGTCCTTAGTCGCTTTTTTTTCAGTGCCGTTGTAACGTCCAACGGTCACTAAGCGAAGCGTTGTAAGTCAAGGACTAGTAGCAAAGAATGAATTTCCAAAGCTCGCCCCCTCTGGTCTTTTATCTGGACCACTCTTCTTCCCCTCCCCCTATTTAAAAAGGTCTCCTTTTCTCCGGAGTCTCCCTGCATTCCCGGGACATAATTGACATCGCCTCCCTGCAGCTAGAAATCCAGCAGCTCAGCCCAGCGTCCAAATGCAATATTGTAGAGTCCCACATATATATGTATATATATATATATATTTTAATCGGCTATTCAGCTGCTTTTCTCCGCGTTCTTAGACGGCTTGATCTGGCCCGTGCTCCGGATCCGGCTGGCTGGTTTTTTTTTGTCCGCCGCGAAGGTGAGGGATTTGGATTTGGTGTTGGGGGTAGGGGTGCTTTTGCCGGCCTCCGTCGTCCGGGGTCCGCAGATGGCCTCAAGGGCCTTCAGTTCGGAGGTGGGCTTCTCTGCCAAGAACTTCAGCACCCAGGACACTTTTAGGATTTCCAAGATGTTCAGCCGTTTGGAGGCCGGGCGTAGGATGCGACGGATCAAGTCCTGCAAAGGAGAGTGCCCACACTTGAATGCCACGGCCTCCTGATCGGGGTTTACCCCCCCCGCCCCTCCCCACTGCAGGGAGGGTGAGCCTAGGACACGCGTGTCCGAAGGGACGTTCACCCAATACCCAACTAAGTTTTTAAGAAGAGACTGGACAGCCATTTGTCTGAAATGGTCTAGGGTTTCCTGCCTGAGCAGGGGGTTGGGCTAGATGACCTCCAAGGTCCCTTCCAACTTTATTGTTGTTGTTGTTGTTGTTATTATTATTATTACTACCCGTGTTTGCCCCCAAATTAGACCTAACCAGAAAATAAGCCCTAGCGTGATTTTTTTTCAGGATGCTCGTAATATAAGCCCTGCGTCAAAAATAAGCCCCAGTTAAGATTGGCAGCCAGACGGACGCGTTTCGTACCATATTTCCCTGAAAATAAAGAAAATAACAGGAAAATAAGCCCCTAATGCAGGGGTCTTCAAACCCGGCCCTTTGATGACTTGTGGACTTCAACTCCCAGAATTCCTCAGCCAGCGTGAGGGAACTAGGACCCTTTTATGACTTGTGGATTTCAACTCCCAGAATTCCTCAGCCAGGCATGAGGGAATTATGACCCTTTGATGACTTGTGGGCTTCAATTCCCAGAATTCCTCAGCCAGCATGAGGGAACTAGGACCCTTTGATGACTTGTGGACTTCAACTCCCAGAATTCCTCAGCCAGACGTGCCTGGCTGAGGAATTCTGGGAGTTGAAGTCCACAAGTCATCAAAGGGCCGAGTTTGAAGACCCCTGGCCTAATGCGTCTTTTGGAGCAAAAATTAATATAAGACCGGGTCTTATTTTTGGGAAAACACGCTATTCTAGAACGGAAGGGGACAACTTGCCCATGGGACAATTCAGCAACTCTTATTTAATGGAGGGGTCCTTGGTGCTCTCTCTGTGCTTGGTTGTTTTCTTGCAGACGTTTCATGACCCAACTAGGGAACATCATCAGTGCTAGAAGGGAGTGTAGGAAGAGGAAAAGGAGGAAGGGGAGGGGTAGGAGGAGGAGGAGGAGGAGGACTTGGTTGTTTTCTTGCAGACGTTTCATTAGCCTAACTAGGGAACATCATCAGTGCTAGTCACTCCATTTAATTATCTGAAGTAATCAAAAAATTGTTTTAATTTTTGTCATTCACAGCTGCCTAAGAAT